CAACAAATCCCAGGAACAGTTACATACTGGCCTGCAGGAAGGACCCAAGACAGAGAGGGAGCTCAAAAAGCCAAAAGGCTATTCTGAAGGGCTGTAAAGGGTTTGGTAAAAGTAACCCAGAAACAAACGTGGTTTGACTTCATTGCTGCTTGGAACGCAACTGAAAAGATACATCGGCCATCCAGTGCTGTGTTGGTTGGCCTGTAGGAAGCCTTAAAACCTGCCTAACACTTCAGAACTGCCCACTTGGCCCTACCATCCCTGATGCCCTGCCCGCTCCAGCAGAGGCCTCAGGGATTCTCCTGTTTGAGGTGGGTGCCTCCCACGTGCCCAGGTTATAGGATGCAGGCCAAGACTGCTTCCAGGTGAGGCCCACTGGAGGCAATCGGAGGCCTCCTGTGGAGCTCACTACTGGTTGATCTTCCAGAAATAAACAAAAGGTGACAGCTCTGGCGACTTCCCTGTGGTCCAGTGATTAAGACTCCACGCTCCCAATGCAGGGGGCCCAGGTTCGATCCCTGGTCAGGGAGCTAGACCCCGCATACCACAACTAAGACCCGGTGCAGCCAAATAAATAAATAAATATTTTTTTTAAAAAAAGTACAGCTCTGGTGAATACTGGAGCCAGATGTGCTCTAATATCTTTTTCTTCCTTCCTTTTTTTTTTTTTTTGGCTGTGCCGCACAGCTTGCCGGATATTAGTTCCACGACCAGGGATTGAACCCGGGCCACAGCAGTGAAAGCACCGAGTCCTAACCACTGGACCGCCAGGGAATTTCCCCGGATGTACTGTAATACACGGTCACCCTCAGAAGTTTTCTGGCCCCCTCAGCGCCACTGAATTATAGAGCACAAATGGTTATAGTCAGGAAAGTCCTTTTCACACAGCAAATTGGGCGTTCTCCTTGCCCCTCCACACCCCTAGAATATGAGATTTGTTTTTTGAATTTTATTTTATTTTATTTTTTATACAGCAGATTCTTACTAGTTATCCATTTTATATATATTAATGTATATATGTCAGTCCTAATCTCCCAATTCATCCCACCACCACCACACCCCCGCCACTTTCTCCCCTTGGTGTCCATATGTTTGTGCTCTACATCTGTGTCTCTATTTCTGCCCTGAAGACCGGTTCATCTGTACCATTTTTCTAGAGAGAATATGAGAGTTTTTATCACTAATACCAGAGAACATAGTGGGCATTGATATCCTACAAGGTCAAGCCCTGCAAACCTATGTCTGCGAATCTGCCTCTGGGTTAGAGTAATCAGACCAGTGATGAGGGGAACACCAATTGGGAACGGTAAGCCTGCCACCCCCGGGGAAGAGTGGAAACTGTCAAACAATATAAATTGCCTGGGTGGGTGGGGCTTAAGGGAATAGAAGAAACTATCCCAGAACTGCACTGAGTGGGAATGGTACGTTCTGCCCATAGTACGTTCAACAGCCTGGTATGGCTGGTTAAAAAGCCAGAGGGCTCATGGCGGATAACCGTGGACTACGGAGAGTTGAACAAGCCCCATCCATGTGTCTGTGCCCAACAGTGCCACCGCCTTCAGTACCTTGGCCGCCATCCTAGGAACGTACCATGTGCTACCTGACTTAGCGAATGCTTTTTTCAGTCTACACCTGGCCACTGAGTCACAACATCAATTTGCCTTCATGCGAGAGGAGCAACAATGGACCTTTCAAGTGCTTCCTCAAGGCCACCTGCACAGCCCCACCACATGTCATGGGATGGTAGCCCAAGACCTGTCCCTATTCTCCTTCCCCACATCAGTAAAATGGGCTCATTACATTGATGAGATGATGTTAACGTGTGAAGACTTGCCTCTGCTGCAGGACCTTCTGCAGACTTTGCTGGAACATCTGTGAGGACGAGGATGGGTGGTGAGCCCTCAGAAAATTCAAGGCCCAGGCACCCCTGTAAAGTTTTGGGGAGTTGTTTGGTGGGGTAAGACGTGCATTGTTCCAGAAGCTGTGGTTGATAAGGTACAAGCCTATCCAACCCCTAAGAATATGAAAGAGGTGCAAGCAGGACTTCCCTGGTGGCGCAGTGGTTAAGAGTCTGCCTGCCAATGCAGGGGACACGGGTTCGAGCCCTGGTCCGGGAAGATCCCACATGCCGCGGAACAACTAAGCCCATGTGCCACTACTACTGAGCCTGCACTCTAGAGCCCACGAGCCACAACTACTGAGCCCACGTGCCACAACTACTGAAGCCTGCGTGCCTAGAGCTCATGCTCCACAACAAGAGAAGCCACCACAATGAGAAGACCGCGCACCGCAACGAAGAGTAGCCCCCGCTCACCACAACTAGAGAAAGCCCCCATGCAGCAACGAAGACCCAACGCAGCCAAAAATAAGTAAGTAAATAAATAAATATATATATAAAAGAAAGAGGTGCAAGCCTTTGCAGGGATTTTGGGGTTTGGGGGGACTTTTATTCCCCACCTGGCACAGTGCCTCCATCCCTTATGCCGCCTGATGAAGAGAAGGCACACGTGGAACTGGGGATCAGGGCAGCAAGCTGCCTTTGAGATGGAAAAAGTACTAGTGAAGCTGATTGCAGCTCTGGGCACCTCCCAAGCAGGGCAACCGTTTAAGTTAGATGTGTCTGTGACTTCGGAACACACTGTGGCAGAGACAACAGGAGAGGAGAGCACCCTTAGGATTTTGGTCCCAGCTGTGGGGGGGGGGGGACAGAAACTTCAATGTACCCCTCATAGAGCAACAGCTCCTTGCAGTGTACACAGAACACCCCACCAGCTATAGCCTCTCACGAAAGAACAGCATATCATGGTAAGAACGTCCCTTCCTATCAAGGGTGGGGTTGAGACTATGTTCTATGGGCCCACCTCTGCCATGGCTCAACCCCCACGTTGACTAAGTGGCCCATTTGCAACAGAGGGGCACCCTGCCTGCCAGCCCACTGTCTCTAGAAATTCAAGTGCTACTAGGCCCTGAAGAGTATGTAGATCCTCCAAATTCCCCTGCCTCTATACCTGGGGTGTCCCCTGCAGCCTGTAGAGAGGCGGGGTGGGGGCAGGGATCCCCGCTGATGCCTGGTATACAGTTGGGTCTAGTCGGGGCAACCCACCCACATGGACTGCAGTTGCTATTCTGCCCAACACTGACACCATCTGGCTGGAAACAGGAACGAACTGCAGCAGCCAATGGGCTGAATTCATAACAGTTGGGCTGTTCTAAAGGGATTAACCCTATGGCTTGGATAAAGGGAAGCTGAGAGATGGATGATCAGAAAACGGCCCTTGGGCTTCCCTGGTGGCACAGTGGTTAAGAATCCGCCCACCAATGCAAGGAACACAGGTTCAAGTCCTGGTCCGGGAAGATCCCACATGCTGCAGAGCAACTAAGCCCCGTGCGCCACAACTACTGAGCCTGCGCTCTAGAGCCCGCAAGCCACAACTACCGAAGCCCGCGTGCCTAGAGCCTGTGCTCCACAACAAGAGAAGCCACCACGATGAGAAGCCCATGCACCGCAACGAAGAGCCCCCGCTCGCCACAACTAGAGAAAGCCCACGCGCAGCAATGAAGACCCAGTGCAGCCAAAAATAAGTAAAATAAATTAAAAAAAAAAAAGAAATCAGCCCTTGTACAAGATGTGTGAAAAGACATTTGAGTTCATCCGCAAGAGTCTGAGGCAGCCCTCACTGTCTTCCACATCCTGGCTCATAAGGCACTGACATCCCCTGGCAATCAGAAAGCTGATGCCCTAGCCAGGGTACAAGCCCTAGCAACTGACCCTTCAGTAGATACAGCAGATTGGGTGCATTGAAAAAACAGCCACTGTAAAGCCTGGGTGGGATGGCATATTGCCAAGGATACCTGATTGCCCTTGAAATATGGTGACTTGGTTAATGCAGTAAATCATGACCTATGTGTTCTAAACAATGCCCAAAGCAACTGCCAAAGGAGTCTGGGGGCCACGCATCGGAGTTCCCAACCAGTGAGGGATTGGTTGTTGAAACACGCTACACTTGGAATGGAAGACGCACCATTAAAAGAGGGGAGAAGGTGGGAATTCCCTGGTGGTCCAGTGGTTAGGACTTTGAGCTTTCACTGCTGAGGGCATGGGTTCCATCCTTGGTTGAGGAATTAAGGGCTTGTGGCCAAAAAAAAAAAAAAAAAAAAAAAAGAGGGGAGAAGGCGAAGGTCTGGTCTGGCATGTTCTGCCACGCGGCCCCTGCCCCCGCCCCCATCCTCACATCTGACAGTGTTGCCTCCCCAGCCAACATGTATGGTATGTACACGTTCTGTTTTCCACTGTTGCAGTCATTTGGCCGCTGTCTTTTCCCTCCATTGGCCTGGGGGAATGTTACAGCACACACAGGTGCCCTTACTAACTAACTGCATCCAGCAAGCCTTAAATGATAACCAACAAAGCCCATCCTTAGGTCTCTAATGAGAAAGCTGTACTCCAAAATAGGATGGCTTCGGACATTATTACTGCCACGCAAGGAGGCACCTGTGCCATTACCCAGAGTGTTGTGTACCTGATGAGTCTGCTAATGTATGTTCTTTACTAAGCCCCTCCTGCGGCACCCCTACTGCTTTCCTCTGCCTGCAACCTCCTCACCTAGTCTCTATCTCCACCCCTCCTCCGGCACCCAACCTCAGAGGAAGTTAGAGGGAGATTGGCTCTGCAACCCTGCAGGCCCTTTAGGAGCTGCTGCCACTCCAGCTCCTTTTGCTGGCTTCCGGAAGGAGGACGTGGACCACAGGGCAGATGTGGAGCTTCGGCTTGACCTCCTGGTGGGAGGCAGCTTCTGGGCGAGGGGGCATCTCTCCTGCTGAGCGTTGTCTTACGGCAGGGGGCAAGGAGAGGGGTGAGTGGGGCTGTCTCCTCTGGGCTCATTTAGCCTCGTTTCTTCCTTACACATCTGGCTTCCACATGGGAACACAATCACAATAGTAATACACTAGTAGTAGTAATAACAGGGCCTGCTATTAAGACTTCTATACCAGCGCTTTGGGGCATTATCTCAATTAATTCTTATCACAATCCACGACATAGGTATTATACCCGTTTTGCAGGTAAGAGAATGGACTCGGAGAGGGTAGGACGTTGCCTAAGGTCCCAGGACTCGTGGGAGCCAAGTCACAGCCGACTGTCCCCGCACCCAAGTCCACCTAACTCCTACTGCTGCAGACACCCCTCGGGAATCCAGGGACCACTCTCCCTGCCCTGAGGCGCACTTGAGGCGTGACCTTGGGCTAGCTCCTTCCCTTTCTGGACCTCGGTTTCCGTAGGTATAACCCGGGCTAACACCTTCTTTCCTGATCATCCACCCGCCGCGCGCGCCAGTGATCACACAAGTGCGGTGCAGTGAAAAGCCCCTTTTCATCCCCAGACCGCAAAACCCGGGGCCACAAAGGAGAGCGCGGGAGACAGCGGCGAACCAGGCCTTTATTTCGGGGCGGCAAGAGGAGCTCCGAGCTCAGGTGCCCCCGGTTCTCCGGCTCCGGCCTCCGCCCCGGCGCCGTTTGAGCCCTCGGCGGCCTGGTCGCCGAACACTGCTTGGTGCGCAGCAGCGACGTAACTGCAGCCGCTGGGGTCGGAGAAGCGCAGCTGTATCAGGGGCAGGAAGCGCTCGGTGGTGAAGTAGCGCAGGGCCGGGCGCGGGGCGCGCAGCGCCTGGAGGAAGACCTGCAGCGGCGGGAGGAGGCGCGCTGGCCGGGGCTGGGCTGGGGAACCGGAGCGCTGCCCCCGCTCCCGCAGTCCGGCCCGGCGCTCACCTCGGTCACGTCCTCCGGGTCCTGCCCCGCCTCAAGAAAGATCTGCTCGGAGTGGCTCAGGTAGCGGGAGAAGAGGTCGCGGGTCTCGGGGTCCGCGCGGTCCAGCACCCCGCCCAGGCCGCCCTCCAGCTTCTCGGGGAAGGCGGTGTGCACCGGGCCGCACTCGATGAGACTCAAGCTGCCGGCGGGAGAGCGGCGGGTGGGCGGGGGCGAATGGGAGTCCGGGAGGGAGGGCCGGAGGGGGGCTGCGCCCGGCTGGCGGGCGCTTCGGGTAACCCGAGCATTTGAAAGCGGTTTACTGCCGGAAAAGAGCCCCCACGTCCCTTGGAGAGTGTGTGAGACAGGCTCTGGCGTCATTATGCCACCCTGGCTGGGTCCCTTAACAGCTGTGTGACCTTGGGCCAGTCACCGAACCTCTCTGGGCCTGAGCTTCCCACTAACAATACCGACGCCTCACCAGCTAGGTCGGCAGGTGGCGTGAGAGGGCAGGTGCCAAACGCCCGGTACTGTGCCTGGCACACAACAAACGGGCGCCGCACTAAGGAGGGGCCAGGGAGAACGCCTGAGAGCGGTTCCAACAACACAGGGTGCTGGGGTTCCCAAAGTCAGTGTTCAGAGGGTCCCGGGGGCGGGGCGGTGACTCACTGGACTCCGAAGGGCTGCAGCAGAATCGCCAGACTCTCGCACAAACCCTCGATTGCAAACTTGCTGGCGCAGTAAACGGCGTTGAAGGGAAGAGCTTGGAGGCGAGAGGAGGCTGCTGAGGCGCGTCGAGGAGGGGAGCCGCGGGGAGCGGGAGGGGCCCGGGGCAGTTTCACCAGGTCCCACCCCTTTTATTAGACCCCCGACTCTCCCGTTGAGCCCCGCCTCCTGCGCGCCTCTGCTTCTTCCTCGGCTTCCACTCACCCATCAAGCCTCCCACGCTCCCGGTCACCAATATGCGTCCCGAGCGTCGCCGCTTCATGTCCGGCAGGAAGGCCTGCAGCATCCGCACGGTACCGGTCAGGTTCACATCCAGCACGGAGCCCACGGCGCCCTCCTCGTGTGCCTCCAGCGGCCCCACCAGGCCCCGGCCTGCGTTACATACTGCGGGGAGAGAGACCGAACTCCGCTCGCCTCACGCACGGCCCTCCTCCCCGCCTGTCCCCTCGTGCTCCCTGGGCCTCGGGACGTCTTGGTTTGGACACAGGGTGAGGAAGGCTCCTGCACTAGTTTTGCAGGGAGACTCACCCAGCACGTCCACGCGGCCCTCGGTCACGCGTGCCCGGGCAGCGGCTATGGAATCTGCGTCCCTCACATCCAGCTGCAACATCTCCAGGGAGCCGGGAGGGCACCCTCGGGACCGGGCGGCCTCCCAAAGTGGGCCCTGTGCCATCAGGTCCCTCAGCGTGGCGTACACTGGAGGTTCGGGGAGAGGACGAGGCTCTGAATTTCGGGCTTACAACCCTACCTAGGCCCCCTTGGACGAGGAAGGAGCTGGTCTCTCCACCCCAGTCCCCTCATGTACCTTTGAAGCCCTGGGATGGGTCGGACGCCAGGCGCAGGGCCAGGTGTAGGCCAATGCCGGAGGAACAGCCAGTGATGAGCACCACGGTGCGGTCCATGGAGCTGTGCTGCGTAGGGAGAGGCCCCGGGAATGCTGGGCGCTGGTCTCTGGGATGGATATCACCTGCTTCGCCCCGCCCCTGCCTGCGTGGGTCCCCACCCCTTGTTATGTCTACAGCACAATCTCAAGGCTGAGACCTACTGCGGATCCCTGGCCTTCTCTCCCCAACCTGCTCTAGGTCAAGGCAGAGATGAGGCCACCCCTTAGAACACCCCTTCTTTCAGTTGCTAGTCAGAGGGAGGGTGAAGCTTTGCAAACAGGAGGTGTGGGCTCCCATGTGGGCACTGAGCGCCCTGGGCAGATCTTTGCCTGGCAAGCCTCTGTCCCACAGGGACAATTATAGTTGCCAAAGTTTGTTGCTGAGGGTGTGAAAGTAAATGTTTTGGAAGGGCGTTCTCAGTTCAAAGGTCAGGGGTTAGTTTAAAACTGAGGGGGGGCTTCCCTGGTAGCGTAGTGGTTAAGAATCCGCCTGCCAATGCAGGGGACACAGGTTCGAGCCCTGGTCCGGGAAGATCCCACGTGCCGCAGAGCAACTAAGGCCGTGAGCCACAGCTACTGAGCCTGCGCTCTAGAGCTCGCGTGCCACAACGACTGAGCCCACGCGCCACAACTACTGAAGCCCGTGCGCCTAGAACCCATGCTCCGCAACAAGGGAAGCCACCGCAATGAGAAGCCCGCGCACTGCAACAAGGAGTAGCCCCCGCTTGCGGCGTGCCGCAAACAAATTAATTAATTAAAAAAAAGAATATTGGATAATTGGAGCTGAGCACTCAGGAACTCGACGGCTGCCAGGCTCTTGGTTTTAATGCATGCTACCTGCAAAGTAAGACAGGCTTTTGCTAACTGGACATACTTCTCAGTAGCTGAAGGAATGGAGCGAATACTAAATGTTTCCCCTGGGGAGGTGTCCTGTCTCTTCAGGGAAACATGGTCAGTATTCTGTAAAGTCACCCTGGCCGAAATGATTACTTGTTCTGACCAAGGTATTTATTAGGCTATTTTAAAGTCACAGCATCCAAAGAATGTCAAATAGCTCAGCTAGCCACAGAGTCTAAGATCCTGTATCTCCTGGCACTGTGGAAGCACCACACCACTGACCTAAGCGATTCCTTTTTTCAGTTTTTCAATATTTTATCAATATAAAACTACTGCCACATCCTTCTACTTTCTTTTATGTCTTCTTCAACCTAGGAGAGACCTCAAATCTGAAAGTCTTCTCTACTTCTCATCATTAGCAAATGTTTTAGCTCTCTAAATATTTGTATTTAACTCTTGTTTCTAGGGTTTTGTTTTTGCAGTTTAGAAACGTTTAGGAATATTAGGACTTTATCCCTTCTGCTTGATACAGCAGGGGTGGACTGCTAGCCAGTCTAGCCTAAGAGAAAAGTGGAAAGATGCTTCACCGAGCACAGCGATTAACCCAATACAAGTTAGATTTAGAAGGAATGTTGTTTAAATTACCTCTTCTAGCCTGAATACATGGATTCTTTCAGATCAGGAAAGATTAGAAGCAGCAGCCTCAAAACTCTTAACAGTGTGGCTCTCGGTGGTAGAGGACAATGAGAAGCAGCAGATTATAATTTGGTTTGTGGGATGTGATGCATGTGCTATGATAGGAAACCTGAAATGATGGTTGAATTGGTAAAAAACACTGCACAAAATTTGCTGTAAGATATATAGAGACTTATTTTCTGTACTATTCTTTTTAAAAAACGTTTAATTTCATATTGGAGCATAGCCGACTAACAATGTTGGGGTAGTTTCAGATGCACAGCAAAGCGACTCAGCCATACATATGCACGTATCCATTCTCCCTCAAACTTCCCTCCCATCCAGGCGGCCACATAACATTGAGCAGAGTTCCCTGTGCTATATGGTAGGTCCTTGTTGGTTATTCATTTTAAATATAGCAGTGCTGTACTAAAGTATTCTTTTTTGTTGTTTTTTTCTTTTTTTTGCGGTACGCGGGCCTCTCACTGTTGTGGCCTCTCCCGCTGCGGAGCACAGGCTCCGGACGCGCAGGCTCAGCGGCCATGGCTCACGGGCCCAGCCGCTCCGCGGCATGTGGGATCTTCCCGGACCGGGGCACGAACCTGTGTCCCCTGCATCGGCAGGCGGACTCTCAACCACTGCGCCACCAGGGAAGCCCCCGTGAATAATTCTGAAATATCTATTTCTAGTCCTCACCTTTCTCCCAAGCATCAATTCCATGTGTCACTGTTGTGGCCTCTCCCGTTGCGGAGCACAGGCTCCGGACGCGCAGGCTCAGCGGCCATGGCTCATGGGCCCAGCCGCTCCGCGGCATGTGGGATCTTCCCGGACCGGGGCAC